GGACAAATCAACCACCACCCCTCAACGCAGATGTTCTGATCTAAGGATGATAATACAATCTCGGAGGCTTGGAAAAATAAATCTGGCGTCAAAAAAGCGTTCCTTTTCTGTCTGCTATCCCTTAGCACGCCCTCCACCCGGCTTCCCAGCATGCCTCCTGAAGCTTAGCTTCCTTGATTTTCACAACTTCTAAAATTAACCTCTGAGCTCTGGCTGCTGCCTCTAGAGGGGAGCCCTGGCTGCCTCTAACAGAGACCATAAGCTGAGCAGCAGGTGATTCTGATAATCCTTCCCTTTCCTAAAGTCGGCCTGCCCACCTGCTCGCTGGAAGCATGCTGGGGCGGAGGCTGGCATGGAGGACACGGCCTATTTCCTGGTTGCCTTTCTTCTATGTCCCTGGTGTGTCTGATCCATTTCCCAGATCTAGGCAGGGTGCGGAACTCTTTGTCCTCCCACTCTCTCCCTCCCCTGGCCCCATTCCATGTTGTTTTGTTTATTATCTAGAGTTCGTCTCTGGGAAGACTCCAACCAGGGATTATATAAACTTTTGAAGATGAGTAATGGGGATCTCGCTTCTCCTGACTTAGTAACAATCCCCCTAATGGGGTTAAGGATGACTCAGGGTTTGTGAAAGGGAAACTGCAAAGCAGGTACTTAAGTAGACCCTAGCAGTTGGGAGTAGTGTGTAGTTGGCCCCTTTTTCTGGGAGGTGGGAGTTTGGGTGAATGGATTTGGCTACACGTGTAGCCCCAAGTTCAAAGATAATGCAGCAGAAACGTGAGCCCTGACTTCTCTGGAAGTTGTGGCCCCAAGAGCATGAGACATGATGGCATTCCTTACAGAACGTTTTTCCACACTGCAAACTGACAGATCTGAAAACCACATCACATTCACCGCTGGTGCTGCCAGGGGGACAGGATGCTGTAGCCTGAGGTTTTCATGAGATGCATACTGCTGCCTCATTCAAAGTCGAGCCCTGGTCTGAAAAGCACAGCTGAAGGACGCGCTGGGAGTCCAGTTCCAGCAATCTGTGGCGCCCTGGGCTTCCCTGGGGCAGTGTGGAACCTTCAAAAGAATAGGGTTCTCACCAGCTTCTTGGGTGTTGCTACCTTGGCACTCAACATCAGACCCCGGATAGTAGCCAGTCCGCCCGCCCCGAGCTAGCTCTGCAGACACTGAGCAAGGGAAGGATGAGAAGCAAAGATCTATAGGTGGTTGCAGTTTGGTGACCTGAGGTGGAATGGCCAGGAAGGGTGATGGCAAAAGGAAAGCATTTCAAACAATCCAGGCCAGCCTCAACTTGCTGGAGTGAACAGCGGCAGGCAGACAGTGCCTGGGCTGGCAGCTGTCGTGCAAACAGGGGCATCAGGAAGCCCATGAAATGAAAACAAACGTTAGAAATAGCACCCCTTGTGGAAGCTCTATGAACGGAACCCCAGCACCATCCCAAAGGGAGAACACAGGCAGGCTCTGCTCAGAACAAGAAGATGCTCCTCCTGGAACCCACATTCCCCACATGTGGGCAGGGGCAGGACCCCTGAACCTGGAGAGGGCATACAGACATCCACACAGGGACACAGGCACACAAATGCCACTAGGCAGGCCACCCTCACACCAACACCACAGTTGGATGTTTGCCGCCTTAAAACATCTTCGGTTTGTTAACGAATTACCTCCCTCACTTTTTCTAGCTGGCAGGGCAGAGAATGGTGGCTTGATCATTATATGTCTATCTATAACGCTTCTCCTTTAAGAAGGCAAGGTACTCCAACTCCCAGGACAAGAAACAAGATGCATTGTAAAATGAAATGTGAGTAGGGAGAGAAGGGTGCAACACGGAGAAGCCAACTGAAGCCCAAGGCCCAGGTGTTGGGGATACACATCTCTGACTGTGTTTAGGAGGAGCTCAAGAACAAGCTGCTTGGCTTCCTGGGTGCCTGGTGCACAGCAGGCCCCTGATACACAAGTACTGCTGCAGTCTGCAGGGGCTCTACAACCTGCCTAGCTGACTGCTCTAGAACTTGACCTTCCAGGGGATTTTACCAGGACTGGGAGGTCAGGTCCACCACCTGTCTGTCAGTCTGTCACACTGCTGAGTTGGCATGTTGCTTTGAGGCTGGAAGCTATGCAACCAGCATTTCCAATACCAGCAGGTTCACCCATGGCAGACAGATTTTGGTGAAGCACCCAGACTAAGACCAGAAAGAAAGGCCTAATGATTTATTTCTAAAAATCAGTCAATGAAAACCTTATGGATCACAACAAAACGTTGTTGTGGACACGTCACCAGGAGGGATCAATCGCTGGAAGAGGACATTGTGTTTGGGGAAGGACAGGGTGAAGGACTTCTGAGACCCTTAGTGAGAGGGACTGGCCCAGCAGCCACAGAGATGGACTCGGACATGCTGGGGACTGTGAGGATGATGCAGGACTGGGCAATGTTTTATTTTGTTGTGAGAAAGGTCACCATGAGTTGGAATCAACTTGACAGCTGCTAATAACACTAATGGAAGATCAGGTTGGAAGGTAAATACAAAGATGGTGTCTCTACTTTCTCCCTAAGCTTTAAATCTACTTATCTGCTGCCTTCTGCCAATGAGTATCTCCTTCTGTGACTTTCGGAGGCCTCCTGGTTCATTTCCTCTAGGGCCTCTGAGGCCCCCCTTGTCATGGGGCCTTTATGAAGGCTGTGGCTGAACCTCTCACAATGGTAACAGCTAGGTAGAAAAGCCTTCTAAAAATGATCCTCCAGCTTTAAAACACGAACACCTGAGCTTTCAAAACCCAAACTCAGCACAAAAAAGTAAGACCAAGGAGACACTGAAAATTATCTCTTTACAGTTTGGGTGTTATAGTGATAGAGATGCTCTGGTGGCATAGTGGTTAAGGCATTTTGACTGCTAAACAAAAGGTTGGTGGTTTGAACCCACCAACTGCTCCGTGGAAGAAAGATGGGACAGTCTGCTTCCATAAAGATTTACAGCCTGGCAAAGCCAGTGGGGGTTGCTATGAGTTGGAATTGGCTCAGTGGCAGTGAGCGTGGAGTTTTGAGAGTGATGGAGAGGGAAGAACTTCACTTAGCCACGAGACTATAAAGATCAATCTGTCAACTAATCAGCATCTTTCCTTCTAGCTTCCTTTAGACCTATGGTTAAGAATCCAGTAATAATGGACTTCCATGGAAGCTGCTAAGGGGCCATTAATGATCAACTCCTTTACCAGTTCCATGATCCCCATTTTCCCTCCTAACTCCCAGCAACCAGTTCATCAGAAGTATTATTTTAAACCAATGATCACTTGCATAGAGTGGCTTGGTGCTAAGAAAGGTGCTTAAATCTTACACGGGCTCTAATGAAACCAGTGTGTTTCCACCACGATGAGTCATGGAACTTGATTTTAGAAACGATCTCAGAGTGTAACCTGATCACTGTCCGGACCACATTCTTCGTGTAATGTCATCTACGTATGGGAGAATTTTTTCTTTTTTTGGGGAACAGTTCTGTCACTTAAAACATCATTTAAAAATCCCATTGGGAATTAAACTGCTAGTTACAGGACAGTGCTGGTTACATGTCTGCCCAGCAAGGAAGTGTGCTTCTCAGAGGTGTGTGCAGTCTAACATTTCAATTGCTGGCAATCTGCGTTTAGCAAAGAGAAAATGAGAATTCTGCACCCGTAGAAGCAGGTACTGGCAGCCCCAGGCAGAGGAACAATTCTCCCCGAGAAGGTCTGTTGCATCTCCTGGGTCTTTTTGAAAATGAGCAAGTAAGAAACAATGGAGTCAAACTTCCTCGAGCTGTCAGCCAGGCGGTGACAACTGAAGGATGGTCTGGAGCTGCCTGTCAGCCTACTGTTAACAGAAGACACCTGTTGTGGGCTGGGCTGGAGGCTCTTCTGTGGGCCTGCACTCTCCTCCACAGGCGGGATATTTCCATTGTTCTGAAGTTCAAGCAGCCATCAGAGAGCCAGAGGCCCAAAGGAACCAAAGGTCCAGCCATCAAGAATGAGCCAGATGGGCAACAGCCCCCAGTGGTGTCATGGTGGGCTTTGCCACGTCACGTACCATCTCCAGACCAGCGTGACACCATCAGGAAGAAGCTGCCATGTAGCAGTGTCCTGACCACTTATTGAAGAGAATCCGGGTAGACCAGCTGTCTGTCTGCACAATGCGGTTCTTACTGGTGTGGACAGAGATACCAGCCTTGAGTTGGGAGGAGAGAGGGGCAGGTATCTTAAGAGTCATTATTCACCACTTGGAAATTAGACCTTCTCAAAACCACTGCAGTCTGGCCCCAGAAATGAGTGAAGGCCATGAGAAAAAAGACCAGGCATTAGATAGGAAGAGAAGCCCAAGTCAGGAAAAGAGTTGTCTGAAACCTGACACAGTTCAATGACCAATGGGGAGACAGCAGGTCTGCTTAGCGAAATCAGCCTCGCCTTTCCATCTATCAGTGCCTGGAGGGCTGGTAAGGATGGTACGAGGGGGCACCACAGTGGTTCCACCTCAAATCTGTTCTAAATCCCACCTCGTCACATCTCTCTCCTCTCTATCTATACAAATGGTGACCTGGTTGGTATTAATGAGGTCCCCAAAGAGAAAGAAATTTCTAAAAATGGGCATTGCTCAGTTCCATTACTATTCAACTGGCTCCACTGAGCCTCTTCAAGCGGCAACTACAAACTCACAGGAATAATTCCTGCAGGAGAAAGGAAGGGGTCTCCACAGGGACTCACGAGGGGGTCTGCTTTGCTTCTCCCAGGTCTTAAGCCCTGAAATGCTATTAGAACTTTCTCACCTTGGAGACACAGCTATGCATGCCTTCATACATATGCATGGCCGCAGGGTTATACACATGTGCATATAATCACTCACTTAGTTTCTAAACGGGTTCCACAAGGGAAGCTTGACTTATCATTAGTTCTTCCTGTGGCCTGATGTGTAAATGAGAAGGTTAAGTTCACAAACTATGGTGCTGTAGGCTATAGAAATATCTACTCACAACCTGCTTGTATCTCAGGGGGAGTATTCAAAAGCATCATGGCAGTGGCAGCATCAATGTCAGGATCTGGAAAAATCAACCAATAAATAACATTATTTACAACGGGGCCACTGTGTGCGTGTTCTTCCCCCTGTAAATTACAGTTTATGAATGCAACAGAGGAAAAAAAAAAGTTCAAGAAATTGATGCGCTATCCCAAAGGTGCCTTCTTCCCATTTGGCTTGAAGAGGAAGAAAAGATATTCCAGAATGAGATGTAAGAGGATCACACAAGAGTGGGTTCTCATTCTGTTAATTTCGCGATTTAGCCCGTCTGTTCCTGCTAAGTTGCTGCTCTATGAATCCCTACAACTTTGTCTCCGGGGGTCGAGAAGCAGGAGTGGGGGGCGACAATAGGAAGGTCAGCCACAGGAGTCATAAAGAAACTGGGAAAAGCTCACAGCTACGAGAGAGAAAGCACTGAATACACCAGCATCCTGGGAGATGCAAACGAGACACCGGGTCACCCCCATTGGTCAGCAGAATGTAAACTGTATTTTCTGAGGCTGTGTGGACACACAGTGGAGGTGGTGGAAAAGGCATGGGGGAAAAACATTTAAAATATAAAGAAAAAAAAAAATTAAAGTTCTGATGTGGAGGGCACAATGCTTACTTCTCCACTTATCACTGCTTTTAATATGGGCAAATAAATAAATAAAGTACTCATCACGTCAGTGCTGTAATTCTTAATAGGTTGTTGAAGCCTAACCGATCCACCAGTTGACAGATGGCAGGTTATATAGAGATGGAGAAAAAATATTATCCTTTTATAACTAAATTCATTTTCCTCTGAGAAACAGCAGCGCTGCTGCTATGGAAATGAAGGTCACCATGGCAACAGTAAACAACCCCCAAGAATGGCCGGTGAATTGGCTGAAAAGAACATCTGCCCCAGCGCAGCGTCCCAGCTGCCCTGGGGCGAAATTCACTAATAGTGCGGTGATGCTGCAGGACAGAAGCTGCCGCCTGTGCCCTGTCCAAATAAATGAAGTGTGCAATTGAAGTCGACATCAAAATGCCTGCCCTTGCCGATTACCGCCTCTGCGTCCGCTCAACCCGATGACTAATGATGGAGGGGCAAGGGGGCCCCTCACTTGTCAGATTTTGTATAAATTACAAACCAAAAAACTCCATCTACTAGTAACGGCTCCATAGCACTTTAGTTTGGGTATGATGCTCGAAAATTACTTTTTGATTGTTTTTAAAAAGTATGATTTTCAGACTTTGTATGTGTAGTTTAATTTCAGGGGAGTAGTATGATACAGTTAGCATAAAGCCCCACGAGCAATGCATAATGCTGGTACCAGAAAACCATGTCTTGGGGGGAGGAAAAAAAAGGTAAATGAACTTGACTCTGCGGGCCTTTTTCTCTTCTGTCGGCAGGAGGCCCATTACTTACACTCCATATGGAGTGAAAGTTTATTTTAATAAGCACATTGTATGAGAAACAGGTAAATCAACTTATCTGGCAACTCCTGGGGTAGAATTCCTAAAACACTGACGTTCCCCACAGATATTAAAAATATATATATTTTAGTTGAATAATTAACTGGGAAAAAAAAAATAAAGTGCCACTCACTGCTCCCAGGGTTCCCTCTGTCCCTGCCCTCGTGTCTTCACATCAGTCCTGCTGCCTAGAAGAACAACTTGCTGTCTTGGGGTTATTTTGCTGGCACCCCACAGGCCACGGTGCATACTCTGAGGCCTTTCCCCTCCTCCTCAGAGAGTAGCTAAGAACACAGCTCTGGCGGCGCAGTGGTTAAAGCATTTGGCTGTTAAGGAAAAGGCCGGTGGTTTGCACCCACCAGCCCCTCCATGGCAGAAAGACGAGGCAGTCTGCTTCCATAAAGATTTACAGTCTTGGAAACCCAATGGGGCACTTCTACTCTGTTCTACAGGGTCGCTATGAGTCCGAATCGACTCAATGGCAGTGGGGTTGTTTTGTGTAGCCAAGAACACACAGTTGTTTCTTCTCACCAAGCACAGGTTCTTTGCCATTTTTGAGATGCCAGCACTACAGGAAATCCATGTTGGCGAAGCTAAATGGTCCCAGCCTCACCATGTGACTCTTCAACAGAGTGGTTTTTCTGAATGACAAGGATGTTAGCAGAGGGCACAACAAGAGGAAATACAGGTAAGAAGTCAGGAATCTTTTCCTATGTTATTTTGCCAGAAAATTAAAGAAAGCATTTCTGTCTTCTTTTTAAAACAAACAACAACAACAACAACCAATACACTGGACCTCAGGAGGTAGGTCTAAGGGACCACAGATAAAAAGAAGACAATGAGAAAAAGCAGAGGAGGAGAAAGCATCTTAAAGGAAAGGAATGTCATCAATGCTGACACAGAGTCAGGAGAACCTGGCTGGGGTACCACCTAGGGACAGCTTGGGAAGTGTTTTAGGTCCATATAATATCCACCAATGTCCCTGCACCCCACTCCAGCCAACCCGAATAAACACACAAATTAAGGAAAAATAGAGGTTTTAGGGCAAGCTCCTCTATTGTGTCTTCCAACTGGATTTGCCTTGTGCCTGAGGCCTCCTTAGATAGACATTCTGATGCTATTCTAGAACTCCACTCCGTCTCCAAAGTGCTCTGGGTAAGTATACCACCCAGACTTCTCATTATCCCACTCCTAATGAACTCCTTCAGCCCTATTCTTCATTCTGAATGGCTAAGTTCCTGGGGTGGTATAAACCTCAGTACTACTAGCCCTTTGGGCAAGCTGAAATGAAGGGCAAAGTGTGGAATTCCTCCCACTTCTTTCCATATTAGCAGGAGAGGCGACACATGTAAGAACTGCAAATGGTATGAAAAAACCTAATTATGTGTTCATGCAAGTGTGTGCACACAGGAACCATAGACAGTGCCAGCCCTTCCCCAGGGGAGTGCAGTGAGTGTTGTCCATTTGAAAATCAACTTTATTGAAGTATGATTTACATAGAGTAAAATGCACCCTTTATAAATGTATACTGTGATGAGTAACACATTTCACACCAGTTGTTACCACCATTACAATCCAGACAAAAGGCATAATGAAGATATAGATTCTGTCACCCCAGAGTTTCCTTGTTACCCCATGTACTCATACCCAACCTCACCATGAGTAACCACTGATGTGCGTGATGTTGTAGCATCAGTAATTCATTCCTCACTGTTACTGGGCCACATTCCATTGTATGGATATACCATAATTTGTTCATCTATTCCCTTGTACATGGACATTTGCATTGTTTCCAGTTTGGGGGTATTATGAAAAATGCTGCTATGAACTTTTTGTCTTTTGTGGGTATGTTTTCATTTTTCTTGGGGAATTGCTGGTAAGTGTATGTTTAACTTTGTAAGAAACTGCCAAACATTTTTCAAGAGGCTGCAACAGAGTTCTAGCTGCTCCACATTTTTGCCAACACTTGATATTGTCAATCGTTTAAACTTTAGCCATTTTGTGTGCAGTGGTATTTCTTTGTGGTTTTAATTTGTACCTCCCTAATGATTAACTATGTTAAATATGTTTTCATGTGTTTCTTGGCCATCTGTGAAGAGCCTGTTCAAATCTTTTACCCATTTTTTATTTGAGTTGTCCAACTTACTACTGAATTGTAAAATTTCTTTATATATTCTGGATATCAGTCTTTTGTGAGATGTATTTTCTCTCAGTCCATGGCTTGCTCTTCAGTTCCTTAATAGTGTCTTTTAAAAAGTATAAGTTTAAAAATTTTATAACATCTAATTTACCAATTTTGCCTAACCCAAGGTTGCAAACATTTTCTCCCCAGCAGTATCTTCTTTTTTTATTCCCATTATTTGTTAGTATACCAAAATATAATGTCATTTGGGTTCAACACTCAGATTTTACAGGTAAATAAAAATAGATGTAATCAACCAGATCTCTTCCTTATGCAGTAAGTGTAGACCTCCTAGAATTATGCTTCAGTATTTCACGGCAGAGGGATACTACAAATGCTCATTCTTATCTCTTACTAAAATGTCTAAGTTTCCCCTTTTAGAGGAAAAAACAAAACAAAAACAACTCTAGGTAAATATAATTTGAAAAATAAATACCTTCCCCAAGTCCTACTTTCATGATGTAAACACTGCTCATATTGTCTTTTACACAATGCCAGAAATATTCTCTGAAAATATTAGCATTGTGTGTGTTCACAGAAACTTCAACACACACATTATTTACACTCAAGACCACTCATGACCATCACCCAAACTGAACCTGTCTAAAAATCTTTTTTTTTTAAATCCTCCTTTGTTGCTTCAATAATAAACCTTACTTCTTTCCTCCACTAGTTCCCAGAGGCCCATTTCTATTTTCATCTTTGATGCAGTTGTCTCATCACATTGCCTCTTCTCTGCAGTGAGAGACTAAAATAAAAAAGCAGTCTCACCTCTTAAAGATGTTTTCAAATTCTCTTTCCCTGAATGTACACACACAACTAGATCAAGCCCAGTGAGAGAAACAAGTAACCAAGTTTCCAGAACCCATGGTTCAGCCATTTGGATTTTTAACAAAACATTTCACCACATTTTCTCAAAATGTGGAGATGGTTTCTTGCAGGTACTGGGGATGCTTCTCCTCTGTATGATGGGAAAAGACTAGCCTAGGCATTGGGATTCTTGGGTTCAAGCCCTGGGCCTGCTGCTAATTAACATGGGACTTTCTTTTCGTTTTGCTAGGCTTGGAGTTTATTTATTTTAAAATGCGGAGTTGAGGGCTGTAGACATGGAAGGGGCCGGATGCTTCACCTCATTTGTCCTTGGTTCTTTATCTCATTCCACACAGTGCCTGGCTTAGCCCATAATGTCCCTTTGATAGCTGTCTCCAGTTCTGGCTTGTGGCTGCCAGAACCATGGAGTCCAAGGACCGTCTATCAGATGAGGCATCTGTCCCAAAGCCTCTGGGGACAGCCAATCCACTCAGTAAAGGCTGAAACAGTATCCTATCATCCCTGGAAAACTGTAACCTACCATGATGGGAATCTGCCAGGCCCACTTCAGAGCCATCTACCCATCCAGA